TTTAATTACCTGTCCAAAGAAGAGAATCAAATGGAAGATGCCTTGGCCACAGTGGTGGCATCATTTAAGATGAACGAATATTCATATATATCACCCATTGAAATGAAGGCTTATGAGTATCCTTTCCATTGTTTTAACATAGAAGAAGAAGATGATGAAAACCCCTGGTATTATGATATCTTGTAATATATAAGATATCAGAGTTATCCAGAACAGACCGCTGAGAATTATAAGAGAACTATTAGAAGAATAATATCAGGGTTTGTGCTTGACAGTGAGACACTATATAAGAAAAGTCTGGATCAGGACTTGTTAAGATGTGTGGACACGAAAAAAGCCAAGTTCGTACCACAAGACATACCAGTCATCAAGATGGATCGACTGGTAAACAATATTCAAGCTGCTAATCTCATCTCATTTTCAGATGATGAGATTTTGTCTGGAGGAAGAGGTCGAGCTAAGGTATTACACATCACCACTCACTGTAAGGGGCACGCCTTACCGAGTGTGTAAATCGAAAATGGGTCAGCCCTTAATGTGATGCCTTTAGTTACATTGAAAAGGCTGCCAATGAACACCTCTCACATGAGAACCTGCCAAAGCGTGGTCAGAGCCTTTGATGGGACCAAGAGGGAGGTAATCAGCAAAATTGAGGTGCCTTTAACCATCGGACCGACCACCTACAACATTGAATTTTTAGTGATGGACATCATGCCTTCCTACAATTGTCTTTTGGGAAGACTTGGATTCATCAAGGTGGTGCTGTACCAAAAAGTTAACTTTGTCATTGATGGAGCTCTGGTAATTATTAATGCCGAAGAAGACATTGTGGTGAGTATGACCACAGATGCTCCATACATTGAAGTAGATGAGGAGGTAGTAGAATGTTCATTCCTCTCCTTAGAATTTGTGAATGCCACATTTGTGGATAAAGGAAGAAAGATTTCCAAACTGTGGCTTTCCGAGTGCACCAAGATGGAAATCAAACAGACCTTGGGAGGAGGAGCTAAGACAGGAAGAGGATTTGGGAAGTTGCTGTAAGGAATGATTAATCTCGTCCTTCTTATATCAAAGTTGGATCAGTTTGGGCTTGGTTTTCATCCCAGTCAACAATAAAAGAGGAGAGAAATTCAGAAGAACTTAGAGAGAAGGTTGGCCAGATTGAGTGGCAATGAATTTCAATGGGAACCCATGGTATTCCCATCTCTTTACAACATGTTTAAGTCAGGTGGTTATGTATTTGAGACCACCTAACCAGCTTACGAAGCTACTTTGAAAGATTTAAGTATCAACGCCATAGTAACAGAGAATGCTGAAGATGCAGATAGATCCGAGATCTGCCCACTGCCACCTGTGTTTATGCTTAGCAACTGGTTGGCGAAAGAACTAACTATGATTTTTAAAGTTATTTCAGAGTAATATTCAAACTATCCCTATTCGCCTATACCCGGGGCAATAGGTGATCTTTTGTAAGGGTGAATAAACATTTTTTTTAAGTTCAATAAAAGATGCAATTTCTTTCATAACAAACACTTTCTTATTTCATTTCTTTCTAATTCTTTCATTTAGTACTTCGTTTCACTCTCTTTCAAATTTAATTTTCAATCATTTCGTGTGGGATATTTTCCTCTCACGTATACACATTTCCTTTTTCCTTCAGGTCCTAAGATAACAATAATGCAGGAACTGATGATCCTGATCCAGAGGTGGATATTGAATCAGCCATTTGTCTCAAGTAAATTGATGAATGTGAAAATGAAGAGGAGTGCAACTTACCTACCGAATTGTTGAGAATGGTAGAAAGAGAAGACAAACAAATACTACCATATGAAGAGAAAATCGAAGTCTTGAATCTGGGCACTGAAGATGAGAGAACTAAGGTCAAAATTGGCACAAATCTTTCAGTTGAAGCAAGATAAAACTAGATAGTCTTACTTCAAGAATATATAGATGTGTTTGCGTGGTCGTATCAAGACATGCCGGGGCTAGATATAGATATGGTAGTCCACAAACTGCCTATTAAACCAAAATGCAAACCCGTACAACAAAAGCTAAGGATAATGCAACCTGAAATGCTCCTTAAGATCAAAGAAGAGTTCAAGGAGCAATTCGATGCTGGTTTCCTTCAAGTGGCCAAATATTCGGAATAGGTGGCCAACATAGTGTTGGTTCTAAAGAAAGACGGGAAAGTGCACATGTGTATTGATTACCAGGATCTTAACTAGGCAAGCCCCAAAGACAATTTTAACGTTAGGTAAAAAAATAATAATAAAAAACAAAAACAAAAAAGGAAAAATAATAAAATAAAAATATATTAATAAATATATTAGATTAAATAAATAAAATAAATAGAGAAGAAAAAAAGAAATAAAAATAAAAATATATATGTATAAATAAATATATTAGATTAAATAAATAAAATAAATAGAGAAAAAAATTAATTACAACGTGAAAAAGAAAATATATATATATATATATATATATATATATATATATAATAATAATAAAAGGAGTAAATTAAAAGAAAAACAAAATAGAGAGTAAATTTTAAGAGGAAATTGGGATTAAAATTGATTTTGGGGTTCAAAATGAATGTTTTAAAAAATGGGGGACTGAAACTATAATTACCCCTTTTTATCGACAAAACACGCGGATCCCCTAGGGGATCCAGTCGGGTCGTCAGATCTGGGTATAAAACCCAAAAATCACAAACAAATTTCATAATTCCTCCCCCTCTCAAATAGATCAAACTGAAAACCCCAAAATCATCTACACCATTCTTCGTGTTCTTCAACAAATGAAGAACACGGCCGCCTGGGTTCATCTGGAACTCAGAATCCGGCCACCGTCGCCTCGCCAGTCGCCATTTATCGACGGTAAAAAAAAATTTACATTAATCGAAAGACCTTCTTGCCCTCCTTTCAAAAATCTCATTTGTTTTCAAAAACAAGCCTCGAGGAGGGCTAGATTTGAGAAGAAAGTTCTCGAAACCCTCCCCCATTCATCAACTTAAACCTTCATTTTTTGGATTTTTTAAATCAAAAGCAAAGAAAAAAAAACCACATACAAGTATCAAAAACCGAGAAAGGTAAGAACTTTACCCTTTTATTTCTTTTCGAGACGTTACAAATGCTTCAATTTCGACTATTTTCTCTATGATTTACTTGTGTCCTTTTTTTTCTATGGCTTTACATGTATTTATAGTCCTAAGATTGTTATTTTTAGTTCGGTTATTGTAACCTACTTGAACTAAAATACTTTGGTTGCTTGTGTTCTATTTTGGTTGAACTCTATTGTGTGCCGGAAAACTTGGAGATGTGGGTGGTGGCCGCTGGGATGAGGACTCTCCAAGGGTCCTCCCTCTGCCCGATGACTTGCTGAGGGAGATGTGGCGCTGAGGAAACAAGGGTGAAAGTTAGGGTTTGAAAACCCTAACTACTTTGGGCCAGTTCGGGTTACAGTTTGGGCCAGTTCGGGTTGCTCCAAGATCCGGGTCTGCAATTGCTGGGTCTGTTGGTATTGGGTCACCATTTGTAATGGCTTTGGGATTGGGCCTAACATTGCTTGTAATTTTGGACTTGATACAAAAAAAATATATAATAAATATAAATATATGCTCCATACTATATAATAGAAACATAAATATAATATATGTAACTATACAATGTAGATATATATCATAAATATGTAACATATAATGTGTATATACTATATGATATAAATCACATATTATGCCATATAAATATGTTATTAACATAATAATATCACATAAAGTGGGACTAAATGGTGTGTCTACAATAGGGAAAAAAATTGAGAAAGTAATGTAACGTGTAGATCTCAACACAAATTTTGTTGATAGTTTGTTTGAAATAATTTATTCATTTATATTTTAATGTTTAAAACAAAATTTGAACGTAATAATTCTCAGTGTAATCAAATGTCAATTTTTTTTATTTATTGATTCTTTTTCGTCGGACTATAATATGATTAAATGTGACCACATCGTTTATAAAACATATAGAAAAAATATCGGAAGATGTCATTTCTTCCAACGTAATTTCATACATGATAAGCTTTATTAATTGGATTGTCCAATTGAATATTATAGTGTCCGATAGCAATGCTAATGCCACGCAATCAAAGTTTATGATTTTAGAAACTAATGGTCAAATTCTAAAGTTGGGACGAGTATAGGGATTACTAACAGAATTTGACCTATTAGATTCCAGTATTCTAAAAGTGATTATATAATCAATGGAGTTAGGTCCAAGTTGAAAAAATAATAATTTTATCTTTATTTGTAATGGTTTGATGCAACTAGGGATTTCTTTTGGATTTACTTAATATTAGCCATACGATGCCACTGAGGTCTTTTTAGTTTAATGACAAGATTAAGATTTGGGGCATATTTAAATTTTTTTATTTATTTAATTATTAACAGTCGATGTACTAATAAATTAATTTAAATCAAATAGTACATAAGTTCATTATTAGAGTAATTTTTCTAATTCAATTTACTTAATTCACAACTTAGGATTTAGTATCGCATCCAAATTGATCGACTAATTGTTGAGTAATCTAAATTGTGATTATAAGGATACATTTTTCACTAAAATAGATTTAGAAAAATAATTTTTGTAAATTGAATTATCCTTTTTGAAAAATAACTTTCATAAATCATTTTTTGGTGTTCGAATAATAAATCATTTTCCGCCCAAACCGATAAACGGCTAGCTGGTCGAAGAAGTTTGTAGCAAACTGAATGTTAAATTGAAGCACATGGATATTTGCTAGGAGTTTCTGTTTTTCAAAGGTTTCTAATGCAAGTCATTGTCACTGAACATGAAGAGTAAATGGGGTGTTATGGATGGTTCCATATAAACATGAACCCACTTCCAAAACATGCTTCCCATGGATACCCAAAACCAAACAAACAAACAAAAATCTACATTTACAACAGCAGCTCAAGAAACCGACCTCATAAACACAGCCTAAAGAATTCATGAGGCTACATCGGCCGAGGCAGGACCACCTTTAACTGTCAAGCCATGATTGTTGTAAGCGTGGCCACTGCTTCTGCCACCTCTTCCCCGGTTGTTATAATAGCTCCTAGAATAGTAGTTGTTGCCGGGCTGATCATAATATTGCCCACGACCGTTTTGGTAGGCTCCACTGCCCCTTCCGCTGCCTCGACCTCCACGACCATTGGAATAACCCCTACGACCACCCCCAGTACCACGACACCCCCTTTGGTTGTGACAGGGTCTTCGGGGAACAGACTGCTGCTCCCTGGGTTCTACATCTCTCTGATCGTGGTCCGTATCCGCCAGTAATTTGCCACCTTGTTGAACTGCAGTGTCATCAGGATGATTTTCCAACTCGGGTTCATTCTGAAGATCACAAGCCTCGCATATTAATTCCAATAAATGAAATCCTAAAGGAACATATACAACGTTTTTTGTTCATTACAGCTAACTGAGAGAACCTTTTGAAGTTCCTCTGCAGCATTAAATTGACTATCCGCTGTCTCAGTTTCTTGATAATTGGATGCATCTGCTTCCTACATCAAATGCAAAAATAACTTTAAAACATAATCCCCATTTGGAATCATAAAACAAATGGAGGAAGGACAGCTCCAAAAGATATTTAAACAGATCTGTTGAAGCAAAACAAATAACTCGTATCAATCAGAATCGACAGGCCTGAAAAAAGAAGCCATCCCAAACAGTAAACATCAAGTCCTACATCAGTATAAAGGAAATGAAAACTAAGAAACATCACATTGAAGTCATTCAAATCTTGCTGATCAATTCATTCCTACTTCAGCATATAAAAATCTGTAAGAATCACCTAATTACGCAGAGGGAACCAGCTACCATAAGATTTTGACTCTAGTATCTGGCGGCTTTCCTTGACAAACTGAAGGTAAGAGCTCAAGAAAACCCTCTGTTTCATTTTGCATTCCCTCTACTTTTTTAGGCTGATCTAGTTTCAGTCGTGTTCCATTAGTCTCTTTAAGCCGTTGCATGAACCCATCCTACAAACCAGCCTGATAATCAAGAGATCTTTCAGTATCACCTTGTGATATGAAATGAAAAAGTTTCGTTCTTTCTGCTAGAACACCCTAACCAAAGAAATAGCCATATATTTTTCTCAGTCAACTTCTGGTTTAACAACTCGTATCCAAATACTCTGTTCTAAAAAAAAAATAAAACCTTTCCCTTCCCAACATCTTCATATCTCAAACGTGTCTTGCATTGAATCAAATTTCACCTAGAGCTACAAAAGGTACAGCATGCCACTTGAGACTGTTCTAAGGGTGGTCACCAAGCAAGTGATCCAACAGAAATTTGAAATATTTGAAGGGCCTATTATATTAATGAATTCAATTTCAATCAATTATGCTGCAAGTTCCAACAACCAACAGCAAAGAATGAAATGCTATGAATGAACAAAGACAATGAAATGCTATGAATGAGCAAGGATGCAAGACCCTAAAGCCTGATCTGCTCTTGTTATGAATGGAAGTTTCTTTTGGTTTTAAAAAAGAATGGATGTTCAAGTGGAGGGGGAAATTTGGGAAACTACTTGCTCTAGTCTGTCCCAACTTTTAAAACTTCTGTTTTCCTCCTCATAATATTCATTGTCATTACAAATCCCTAAATATAACATAAAAAAAATCAGTAGCCCAGAAAGTCCAAAAGCTTTACACCGGAGAATAAATGTTCAGAATGCAACACATACAGGATGCAAAATAACAACATGAAGGAATTCAAGGCAACACCTATCGACATCCAAATAGGATATGCACATGCTTGAAGAAGTCAAAAGGAAAACTAGCAAGACAACAATGGTTCTCAAAGGCATTTGCATGTAGCCAAATTCCAGAGAACAAATCAGACTAGAACTCCCCATGAGTAGAAAGTTCTTCTTGATTCTTATCAACTTATTGGTTGAGTTTAAACTTTTTTCTGTACTTTTGGATTGGCTTGAAAGTGGAATGTTAGAACTCTGTAGATATGTCGGCACTTTCTTCTACTACTCAAAAATATTTTCAGAGCTGGTCAGCGTTGTTATTAAGTTGCCCAGTCTTAGGCATCATGTCCAATATAACTTGAAGTAAAGTCTAGAAACCTGAAGCTTATTACAGTTTTTGCTACTTTATAACTCAGTCTCAGTACTAAGAACTCAAAATCAAGAGTCCAGATCATTAATCGCCCTTGAATTCTTGCCATTAACAGAAAAACCTTCCTATAATCAGAGCTTGCAACAATTGGCCATTACATCAGACCTCAGGTCAAGAGTTACCATTGAAGTTGCTATCTGATATACATGACCAAAAACCTCACTTGAACAAACCCTCCCCCTGGTAAAAGGAAGAACAATGAATATTCTCATCTCTTTTCCTTTCTTATGCATGTGTGTGTGTGCACACATGTATAAGACTTGATAGAGTTTGATATGTTATTCCAAAGGATCTCGCAACCTCAATGAATGAAGACTGCTTTCCTCTAATTGGAAAGTAAAAATGATCTAGTTTCATGACAATAGAAAAATACCAATAATAGTCATTGTAGATAGCTAACAAACTGATCAAGTCTGGTAAAATATATAGAGTATTTCAACTTTCTGTACTTACAGGAACATAGAGAATTGGTCCAATTCTATTTCAACCTTTATGCTTACATAAATAACAAATAGCTACTATGCCAACAACCGTGTGGTCTGTTGGTAAAGTGCCAGGACTCTTAGTTAAAGAAACAGGGATCCAAACCCGATAGGTACCATGAAAAGAAAAATTAATATAATGATAGATTGATAAAAAAAAACCTATATGTACAGATGAATGCCCTTAAAATATCTCATTTTGCGGTTTATTATTCATTTATAAAAAGATGGATTCTCTCAGTTCTCTTCCCTACACCCCTCTAGACTGTGATATAGTTGAAAAGCAAGAACTAAATGTATGGCATCAAACCAAACAAATTAACAATCATTTCAATAATGCTAAGAGTATAGAAAAAAAGAGGGGAACCCTATGTTAAAAGTCCAAATTGGCAGCCTGTTAAAAGTCCAAATTGGCAATTGCAAATTGAGCAATTTCGGTGGGTGGAAAGCTGGCCAAAAACTTTCGGTCGTCTGCACATTGTTTTCAACATTCGGTGCAACATTTGTTGAAATTGGGTAATGGGATAATTACACATTTAGTACTTGTATTTTAGGGTATTTACAAAATTAATCCTTAAGCTTCAACTATAAATACCATAACCCATTTAGCTTCAAAACCATCCTAAATCATTCTAGCTTTCTCCCAATACTAGAGAATTTAGAGAGTTTTATTGAGAGTTGTTTTCTCTTTTTTATCAAGAGAGAATTGTCATTATTTTCTCCTTGGTAGATCGAGAGAAGTTGTAATTCATATTTTTTTCATAGTGAAATTCTTCTACCGTTGCCCGTGGTTTTAACCCTATATTATTTAGGGGTTTTCAAGTAAATTTTGTGTATTTTTTATCTTCATTTTTTATTTTCTCAAATTATCAGTTGCGATTTTGATCTATCCAATAGTCGTCTTCCGCAACAATTGGTATCAGAGCCAGATTCGAGTGTGTAATATCTACTTATTGTCTTTGTGGTTGCCACCAAAAGGTGGATCCTCCAACATAAGAAAGTAAGAAGGTATTACCCATTCTTTGAAGGTTCTAGAGAACTATTCACGATAGTGAAATAATGAGAGCTATCAGTAATAGAAGCTATGACAACGAAATTTGATATTGAAAAGTTCAATGAGAGATATTTCTCATTGTGGAAATTAAAGATGAAGGACATCCTGAGGAAAGACAGTTGTCTAGAAGCTATCAGTGAAAGGCCGATAGATTTCACAGATGACAACAAATGGATCGAAATAGACGGGAATGCTATGACAAACTTTCATCTAGCATTAGCAGATGAAGTATTATCAAGCATCGAGGAGAAGAAGACAACTAAGGAGGGATGAGATTATCTCACCAAAATGTACGAGGCCACATCGTTGCACAATGAAATTTTCCTTAAGAGGAAATTGTACACTTTCCAGATGCCATAATCTACTTCAGTGATAGAGCACTTAAACACACTGAACACTTTATTTTCTCAGCTTACATCCTTAAGATGTACAATAGGAGAACAAGAACGTGTTGAACTTCTACTTCAAAGTCTACCTGATTTGTATGATCAACTCATCATCAACTTGACAAACAGTAATGTCACCAGTCTAGTCTTCGATGACGTTGTAGCTGCTGTTCTACAAGAAGAAAATCGGCGCAAGAACAAGGAAGACAGACAAGTAAATCTACAACAAGCAGAAGCGTTGCAACGATGAGAGGGGGATCAACAGAACGTGGCCAAAGCAGCAGTCACAAACATGGTAGATCGAAGTCAAAGAGTAAGAAGAATTTAAAGTGCTACAACTGTGGAAAGAAGGGTCACTTGAAGAAGGATTATTGGAGTCTAAATAAAAACTCCAATCCACAAGGCAATACCGCAAACACTTCAGATGATGGAGATGCTCTATGTTGTGAAGCGTCAACCACCGTGGAAGGTAGAAAAAGATTTGTAGATATATGGCTCATTGATTCGGGAGAAACATATCACATGACCTCAAGAAGAGAATGGTTCCATCATTATGAACCTGTCTCAGGAGGATCTGTGTATAGTTGCAATGATCATACCTTAGAGATCGTTGGCGTGAGAACCATCAAATTGAAGATGTATGATGGAATAATTAAAGTTGTTCGAGATGTGCGGCATGCGAAAGGCCTAAAGAAAAATTTATTATCTTACGGATTGTTGGATAATAATGCAAGCAAGATTGAAACACGGAAAGGAATCATGAAGGTGTTCCGTGGAGCGCTTGTGGTGATAAAAGGCGAAAAGATAGCAGGGAACTTTTACATGATGAAGGGAGAAACTTTGGTAGAAGCAGAAGCGTCTGTTGCCTCATGTAATTCATATTCTATAATGCTATGGCATCAGAAACTTAGACATATGTCAGAACAAGGAATAAAAGTCCTTGTGGAGCAAAAACTACTTCCAGGCTTAACAAAGGTATCACTTACTTTGTGTGAGCATTGCATAACAAGTAAGCAGCACCAGTTGAAATTCAACACATCAAATTCTAGAGGCAAAAATGTTCTAGAATTAGTTTACTCTGACGTATGACAAGCACCAGTTACATCCCTAGGCGGAGCAAAATACTTTGTCTCATTTATTGATGACTACTCCAGGAGATGTTGGGTGTACCCTATTAAAAAGAAGTCGGACGTGTTTTCAACTTTCAAAATCCTCAAAGAACAGGTGTAACTTGATTCTGGAAATAAGATCAAGTGTTTCAGAATAGATAATGGAGGAGAATACACAAGTGAAGAATTTGATGACTTTTGCAGGAAAGAAGGCATCAAAAGATATTTTACAGTGGCAAAAACTCCTCAACAAAATAGAGTGGCAGAGCGGATGAACAGAACCTTGTTAGAAAGAACAAGAGCAATGTTGAGGGATACAGGCCTAGAAAAATCATTTTGGGCAGAAGCAGTCAATATTACCTGTAATTTGGTGAATCGAGCTCCATCAACTGAAATAGAGCTGAATACACCAATGGAGATGTGGACTGGTAAACTAGCTGATTATTCGAACCTCTATGTATTTGGAAGTATAGTGTACGTGATGTATAACTCCTAAGAAATTTCAAAGTTGGATCCAAAATCCAGGAAATACAAATTCTTGGGGTATGCTAATGGAGTAAAGGGGCATCGCTTGTGGGATCCCACTGCCCACAAAGTGATCATCAGAATAGATGTTATCTTTGTAGAAGATAAGCTACAAAGAAAAATAAAATGATGATAGTGCTAAAAAGTCAGAGACTACACTGATACATGTGGAAAAGGAGGTTGAACAAGGAGATTTTTTTGAAGCAAAACTAGCACATGATGAACAAGAACCAGAGAATTATGAAGCTCCAACAACTTGTCAATCAGATCATGTGAGAAGAAGTCCCAATTGGTACTCATATTATGTTATAGAAGGAAATATTACATATTGCCTTTTAACAGAGGATGATGAGCCATCAACATACCAGGAGACAATAAACAGCTCAGATACTTCACTGTGGATGATAGCGATGCAAGAAGAAATTGAAGCCCTTCATAAAAATAATACATGGTACCTTGTGCCACTACCAAAAGGAAAGAAGCCAATTGGAAATAAATGGGTCTTCAAAATCAAGCGAAATGGTGACGATCAAGTTGAAAGGCATCGTGCAAGACTGGTGGTCAAAGGATATGCTAAAAAAGAAGGTATTGAATTCAATGAATTTTTTCTCCTTTGGTTAGACTAACAACAGTTCGAGTAGTCTTGGCAATGTGTGCTACATTGAATTTACATCTAGAGCAGCTAGATGTTAAAACAACTTTTCTTCATGGAAATCTTGAAGAAGAGATTTATATGCTCCAGCCTGAAGGTTTTGAAGAAGAAGAAAAGAAGAACTTGGTTTGCAGGTTGAACAAATCTCTATATGGTCTAAAGCAGGCACCGATGTGTTGGTATAAAAGATTTGATTCCTTCATTATGTGCATTGGACACAACAGACTTAATGAAGACCCTTGTGCTTATTTCAAGAGGTTTGGTGATAACGATATTGTTGTTGTATATGGATGACATGTTGGTTGCAGGACCCAACAAAGATCATATTGAAGAATTGAAGGCACAACTGGCTAGGGAATTTGAAATGAAGAACTTGGGATCAGCAAACAAGATTCTAGGGATGCAAATTCACCGAGACAGAAGTAATAGGAAGATTTGGCTTTCACAAAAGAATTATTTGAAGAAGATCTTGCCACGATTCAACATGCAAGATTGTAAGCCAATTTATATCCCTCTTCCTATAAACTTCAAATTATCCTCCATAATGAGTCCTAGCAGTGAAAAAGAGAGGATGGAGATATCTCAAGTACAGTATGCATCAGCAGTGGGAAGTTTAATGTTCGCTATGATATGCACAAGACCAGACATTGCAGAAGCAGGGGGAGTGGTTAGTCGGTACATGGCAAATCCAAGCAAAGAGCATTGAGATACAGTAAAGAGGACCTGAGATACATCAAATAGACCTCAAATGTTACATTATATTACGGAGGATCAAACTTACTTATCAATGGGTATATTGATTCTGACTATGCAGGGGATTTGGATAAAAGCAAATATACTACAGGATATATGTTCAAAGTTGCTGGTGGAGCTGTAAGCTGGGTTTCAAAATTGTAGTCAGTTGTGGCTACGTCCACAACAGAGGCAGAATATGTAGTAGCTACACAAGCCAGTAAAGAAGCAATTTGGTTGAAGATACTATTAGAGGATCTTGGGCACAATCAAGAGTATGTATCTCTATTTTTTGACAGTCAAAGCGCCTTGCATCTAGCAAGGAACCCAACATTTCATTCAAGGACAAAGCACATACGAGTTCAGTATCATTTCATTTGTGAAAAGGTGGAAGAATGGACGGTAGATATGCAGAAGATCCATACCAAATACAACATAGCGGATTTCATGACGAAGGTGATCAATGCTGATAAATTTACTTGGTATCGATCATCTTTTGGCCTGTCAAAAACCCCTATATTATTTAGGGGTTTTCCACGTAAATTTTGTGTCTTCTTTATCTTTATTTTTTTTATTTTCTCAAATTATCAATTGCGATTTTGCTCTATCCGATAGCCGTCTTCCATAACACCCTAGAGCTTTACACTAAAACATATATAAAAAAATTATTAAATGCAATAAATCAAATTCATTTATTTCCTTAAACTAAAACAAAGAATATTACCTTCTGCTGATACTGCCCAATTGAATCTTCCACCTCAACCGGCACAGAAATGGGCACACTTTGCGCTAGAACCTGGAAAGTGGTATAAGTCCTAACAGCAACAGCGACAACCACTTCAACCAACACCTTTATCTCCGATGTTGTTGTAAAATAATCCAAAGCCATAATCTTGTTAAGCCTCTCTCTCAACCCATCATCTGCAACATAAAGAAATGCCAAGTTAGAAAAAGAAAAACAAAAATTGAACAACAAATAAACCCACAATTAGAGTGGTTTATTACAAGAAACGCCGACATTGGAGTCGATGGGCTGGTCAGAGTCTGAAAGCTAAAGCTTAGCATGTTGGATGCAACGGTGCAAAACGTTCTTGTGAGACAAAGTGGAATCAGTAGGTCGTGAAGTCAATAGTACACTCAATGTTGAAATCAAATCCAAATCGTTCTCGCTAAGCAAGTTAGTGGCGTCGTCGGTGACGTAATCATAGGTCAGGCAACAGCCCCTCTCGTGAGTCCGAGTTAACATCGTCGAAGTGAAATCATTCTGAGACTTGACATCGAACAACGACCCAAAATAGATCAGATTGAGGAGTTCCTCAATGGCATGATCAGTCTCATCGGTCGGCTGCTTTTCTTGAGTTTGTGAGGTAGTTTCTTCGGGAGAATTGTTTTGATGCTATAAAACGAGCAAGATTTCTTCGGAGACTGTAGAGGAGAGAGGTTTGCGAAGCTTCTCGAGTTCGTCGATGAGAGAGACGGCGGGTTTTGAACGGATGACTTTTTCTTGCTCATTGTTTAAGGTTTTACCTTGGGAGATGGATTGTTCCATTTAGAGGATGCGATTGTATTTCTTACATAATGCACGGATACGTTTGTTGATGAGACTAAGAACGGGATCATCAAAAGAAGTGGTGGTCGTTGCGTCGGAGGAAACTGTTGTTGGAGTGGCGGTCGCCATTTGAGGGTTGACTTTGGTTGTGGTGGTAGCTAATCAAATTTTGGAAGATCACCATTGGGATGTGGCGGCGGTAGTGGTTGCAAGCGGTGGGATGAGAAGATTTTTGGAAAAGGATAGGAAAGTGAATGGTTTTTATGTGGCCTTTTTTGTGGTGGGTTTTTTTTTCAAATAGGGGTGACAATCGGGGGGGGGGGGAAATCTGAAATTACGGGATCTGAATAGACGAAATAGGGAATAATTGAAATCTTCACCCATAAGAATGTGGACAGAGTAAGTTTTGTCTCCGAAGCTCTAATGGGCATAGGGATGATAAATGTTATATTCAAACCGTGAGGATAATTGAATTATACCCGTGTGAATAACTGTAGGGATCTCCGAAAAATATCCATAAGAATCCCTGATATTTTACAAAATTTTAAAAATATATTTATAATCATTTATCTATATGCCTTTAATATATATATTTTAATAAAAAATATATATGATAAGATTGTGATATTACGTGTTACCACTGTTACATCTCAAATGAACTAAAATTTAAGTTAAAATATTTTCTCATTTAATATACATTGATTTGTTGAGATTGGAAATGATTAAGATTGTACATATACATTAAGTGTTAGATGATTATTGACGTTTAAAACTTTCATATTATAGATAGAGATCAATCTGAAACAATCTGATATATCTTATAAGTTTTAGGTGTTGTATTGATTTAAAAAATGTTTGTTTATTTTTGGGATGGAGATTAATCGAAACTCGCAGGGATCCGTAAGTGATAAGTATGGGGATAAAAAAATCTGTGAAACATATAACGGGGATTCCCAAAATCATACCCGTAAGTGTTGGGAATAGATTGAGTAATGCAAAACCATCCCCACCTTATTGCCACCTGTCAAACCACTGATTCAAGTAATACAATAGTTACAAAATTAGGACAAATTACATTGTTTCCCACTGAACTTTATTCTCTCTTATTTTATTCATTGTTTTTCAATTTTTTTTATTTTGCTTACTAAACTTTTCAAATTGAATTATTTTTCTCACTCTATCGTTAAATTTTTAACGGTGTTATGATATGACATTTTTAATATTTATTTTAATAATAATAATAATAATTAAAATTTTAAAATTATACCCAAATCACAATCCCTACCCTTACCCTCACCCTCACCCTTATTTGTCTCTCCGACCAACCCTTACCTTTCCAACCATCATTTGTTCATCGAAGTTACGCCTCCTCTGATGCTAGAGAAAGTGTTTGAGAAGCATGTCGAAATCAATCACGATTTTCTCATATACATATTCCTTGAAATCGATTGGAGAGCCTTCTTCGATGATTTCAAAATCATGGGCTACCACGAGTTCTCGGAGGGGCTACCAAACCCGTCGATTTTGGAGATAGGCGTCGAGTTTTTGAGGAGGTTTCATCATTCCCTCTTAGAACTCCATGCCATAGCTGTCGATTTTGGAGATAGACTTCAATTTTTGGAGATACTGCTACGATTTCAGGAAATGATCTGGTGGTTAATATTGCTACAATTTGGGCATTGTTGGTTTTGGTTAAGGTTTTAAACCGCTTTTTTGTTCTTGATTTTTTGGGTTTGTGCTTGTTGGTTTGGGATAGGACTGAATTGGGGTTGAGTTTAGATATTAGAGATTGATTTTGGGATAATATTGTGAGGGTCATCAATGACATTTCCTTAGGGATTTAACTAGTTCAATCATTTCTTTTCTGTCAACAATTTAGTTTTTCAGTGGGAGTTGAGGATCGATGGGGGTTAGAGTTGGGGATTAAAAATTAAAACATTTTTATTTATTTTTTTAATATTAAATATTAATATATTTACCATGTCGTAGTTAAAATAATAATAAAATAATTCATATCATCACAACAATAGGGAGTTAACGATATAGTGAGTAAAATAATTCAATCTGTAAAGTTTAGTGAACAAAATATAAAAATTAGAAGTACAATGAGTAAAATAGAAGATAAAATAAAGTTCAGTGAGAAACAATATAATTTACCATATATATATATATATATATATATATATATATATATATATATATATAGGAAAAACTATCTCTACAAATATTAATTTACATAAAAAATTTAATGTCTAAAATTTAAAGTTTAAAATTTTAAGGGTAAAGAAGGCAAATGGTCTCTCGATTATATGGTATTATTTTATTAAGTCTCTCGAATATTAAAAATTATAAAATGGTCCTTCTATTATGAAGTGTTGCTTTGTTAAGTCCCTCGACTATTAAAAGTTACAAAATTGTCACCCGACTATTTATTATGCTCCAGACTAATCCTTTTCCGTTAAAAAATTAGTAGTTGTTGATTGATATGATGATTGGTGTTTAACTTATATTTTGATATAACAAATATTTGTAAAATTGGTTTTGGACTTCATCAAATATTTCAAAAATAATTCAAAGTCCAAAATATTTTTAAAAATATGTTTTCTAAATTGTTTTATATATGTGAAATGTTTTTGAGTTAATTAAAACACGTTTAAATGTGTTTAAAGCTTTTAAAATATGAAAAACACTATTTAGTTATTGTTTGGCACTGTTTATGACATTAATCATACACAAATACTGTTTATAGTTTGGAAACTTTTGTAAGAGTTTTGAAACTTTGCCCCCTTAAACTATTTTAACTCTTCAACTATCATATTTTTAAGTAAGAGTTTCAAAACTTTCATCAATGTTTCAAAACTTTCAAGAACAATGTGTTTAGAAGTTTCGATACTTTCACAATAGTTTTGAAACTTTCATCTAAGTTTCGAAACTTGCTCCAAAGTTTTGAAACTTCATGTGCAAGTGTCCTTTATTACATGTTTTTAAAGCTTCTAACGGTTATAATTCATCCCCAACGGTCATAAATGATTAGAAACATATTCCAACTGATAAAAACAAAGGGACACTTGAAGAATGTTACTACACCTATCGAAGCTTAGAGATCAAGAGAAAATAGTCTATATTCTTATTTCTTTCATTTTTCTCTTGTATATAAGTGTATAGAGCTTAATTACATATCGTTTGTATTCAATCTTGTGAGCTTAATACTTGTAAACACCTACCTATAGAGGTCTTCTTGTTTGACAAGTTATCATTTGTTGAAAATGAGAGGTTCTATTTTATCATTGAAAAACTAGAGAATTGTAAAGGTTACTCTTGAGTATAGAAAAAGAAAGAAAAAATTAGTGAATTTGTTAGAAAATCCTTAGCGTGGAGCTAAGGTAGTGGATGTAGACTTGGGTTGAGAAAGTCGAACCACTATAAATCTTGTGTCTAACCCTTATCTTTAATTACTTTCACACCAAAGATTTTTAAATGTCAATTCACCCCCTCTTGGCACATTTTCGGCTGATTGATAGAGCTACAAAAATCCTAAGAATTGGTATCAGAGCATGTCACAATCGACGGTTTAACAACCTCGTGAAGATCCTAGAAGAGCTTTATCGATTTTCTATTCAACCGAGAATATGGCTTCCACTTTCAGCTCATTTTACATGGAGAACTTTCAACTAATCAACAAGCTTCGTATATCAATGGAGCCAATTATGGTTTGAAGAACTTAATGAAGATATTCATTCAATCCATTGATCTTGGAGCATGGGATATGATCACGAATGACTATTCTTCTCTAACGAAGAAGATGAAGGAGTGGAGTGACCAAGAACGAAAGAAATTTCAACAAAATGCTATGGCCATGCATATTTTATTTTGTGCATTTGGTCCCGATATATTTGAAGGAGTGTCTTCATGTTCTAACGCGAATAAGTTATGGAATAAGCTTGAAGAACTTCACGATGACAAGACAGAAGAATCATCAAGTTTAAATCTCCTCCCCAATCCAAAGGTAGTGTGTTTTATGGCTCTTGAAGAGCATGAAGTATATTCTAACTCAAATGAATTAAATTCATATTCTTTTAATGAGTTACAAGATGCAAACAGTGAATTATTTTTGGAGTTTGAGAGCATAAACTCCAAATACAAGAAATTGATTTCAAAATTTAAAGTTAAAAATGATTTTCTTTTGAAAGCAAAATTTAATTTTGAAAATCAAAATAAAATTTTAAAAAATGATTTAGAGCTTCAAAAGTAAAAATTGAAAAAGAAAAAAATTTGATTTAAAAGTTAAGCTTGAATGCTTAATAAAAGAAAAATAAATCATTTTAAATGATTCATCTAGCTTAATAATGGCAAAATGTTCACATTGTCATTATCACAGTCATGATATACATAGTTGTCCTATTAAAAATAGAAAACATTTCAAAATTAGACAAGTATGAGTTCCTAAGGGAACTAAAGGCATTGAAACTAATATTCAAGAACCCAAAGCAGTTTGGGAACCAAAAACAAAGTAAATATCTCTTTGTAGTTTTGTTAGAGCAATGATGATGAAGGTAAAGATTTTGGATGCTCTAATCACACAAAGGAATGATGGATAACCTCTAAACTTAAAGTTTATTGATTTTGTATGTTTGTTGCCTATTGATTTTTATGCATGCATGAGTATTGAGCATCAATGTTTACATGTTTGTTATCTCATGTATATTGAAAATGTGTCATTATGGACATGTTTCAAAATTAAAAGCTTTTATCATTATTTAGTTCATCATAATGTTTTTTTTGGCAAGTAATATTTTTATGATTTCTTTAAAATATCTTGACCTAAATGTGCTTTTATTGAAAAATATTTTCTTTCAACAAGTGATATATTTATGATACCAAATATGTAAGAAAATTTTAAATATTTTTCTTAACTTGCATATGTTTCTTTAACATTCTTCACACCTACAATTGATATCATATTTTTTTTTTCAAATATCAATTGATATCATTTTTTTTTCAAATTAGTATCTCATGAGTTTTATCTTTAAAAATTTTATTGGGATATCTAAGTAAGGGGGAGTTATAGAAAATGATTTTAATAGATTTGCATGAATGCAAATCTAAATAATGCAAATTGTGATTTATGA